ATTAAAGTATCGAACAATGGCGATTGCTCCTTACCTCCCTGGAGGGATTAACGGGCCAATTACAGAGTACAGGACAGGCAAGACGTGAAAAACAAACAAAACGGAGAGAAAAGGGTAGAGCACCTGCTCCTAAATCGTATCGGCGGATGCGGGTGCGCTCATCGCATCGGCACACCATCACCGTACCAGCGTCCACGGGGAGGTGAAAAATAGTACGAGCGAATGGAGCGAGAACAGATCCAATGTATCTCTTGGTGGGCATACACGCGATGCGACTACGGTGGAAAAAAAAACAAAAAAAAAAAAAAAAACAAAAAAAAAACGAAGGAGCCGAGGGAAACGGACGGAACGACAATCAGTGCGGGAAGTGCAGCGACTTGAGACACCGCGCCAACTGCACCACATATCGCCCGTATACCTGTATACTCGCCGCCCCGCGTAAATATATAAGATGATGCATTTTGCATTATGTATGACGCGTGTACACCGGAGCGCGCGCATAAGTGCATATAATAATAAATGGCGCGGATAGAAAGCAATGTATCCACGCATCGAGCGGCCGGAAAGTGGGCCGGACTTATTTCGCAAAAACTTCTTACACATGAGGGAGGGGAGGGGGAGCGGTCGGGACATCCCACACACGGGGACGAGCGAAGGACGGGGAAAAACTAGCCCCCGAGTTGTTGGTCCCTTATCGCGAGCTCGTAAATCCGCTCAGCTGGAGGGGAATTAATCCTTGCTGAATTATGATCTCTCGATCTCTCTTTCGCAGGTGGGCGCGCTCGATCGATTCGAGGGGGGGCTCGCGATGTGGAATGTGGAAACGCGCGGAACGCCTTTTTTGCGAGTCCCCCCTCCTCCTCCGCCTCTTTCCACGTTTTCCAAGCGTTGCGAGAGTTTGGCGTCTCGGTCTCGATTCTATCGCGCATTGAGCAACGGACGCGCGAATCTAGCTTCGCGTCGCTTGACTCGCTCGAATAATTACCCAATGCCCCGTGCACACCGTATTACACGGATACAGGCGATCGGCACGAGATCCTCGGAGAAGGACGGAGCGATTTCTAAGCTGTTTCGATCGATCGACCGGAAAATATAATTATACGGGGTTAGAGAGAGAGATGGCCAAACAGAGGAGTCTGCTTTTTTGTTGCTTTTCCCGGACTACGGTGTATCATACATATAGGAGGATGAGAGAGAGAGAAAAAAAAAGTTAATTGCACCAGCAGTAGCTTCTACGAGTACGACATATTATTGCCTACTGCCGGTAATTTTCTGTTTTTCGCCTTAATTAAAAACGTGATGCACGAGATCGCGTATATAAAATTCGGATCATCAGCACCTTGTGCCGTACAGGTATGTATAGGTATATTATACGAATAAATGTATGATATATATAGGTACGAAGGGAACGCACGAGCGAGTTTCGAGAACAACAGCCACAAGATCGTGCGGTCGTGCATTAATTAGTCGAAAGAAAAAGACGGACGGGAATGAAAATTTAAAATACACGCATTTTTAATAAGCCGAGAGCAGCACGCGCAAATTAAAACGTATATGGGTATATACGTACCAGTCGAAATGATCATTCGAGCCGACAAACGTGTACATCCGCGTTCATATTTGTATATATATTCCTTCCTCTCGTTTCATCGATATAAGCGAGGGATATATTATGGAGGGCTGGGCGAGTCGGCGGTAATCAGCGAAGCTGCACGGTGCTATGGCACGATCGAGCGTCTGCCACAGCTATGTGTATATACCTCTATTACGGGGGACTCCCTTCGCCCACGGAAAATCCAACTGCTGTTTACTGTTGCACGCCACCCCCATCTCTTTTACCTCATCTGTTTTTTTTACTTTTTTACTTTTTTTCCATTAAATTTTTCTTTTTTGTTTGTTTTTCCTCGTTACTCGAGCGTATCGGACTCTATTTTTAGCCGTAATTGGAATCGACGAATGACGCCTGAGCGCACTACTCCCTTCGCGTAACGTGCCCCCCATCCCCCGCAAATCTAGAGCCAGTATCTTTTCCCATGGCGGACCAGTTGCAATTAGTCATCTACCGCATCGGCGTGTGCTGTCGATTTATACTCGTCACGTTATACGATTTTGTAAGCCTCGCGCGAGCGACGTTGTACTGTATCTTTGTCGCCAGTTGGAGTTTTCGGTCTCCCGACATAAACAATGACAAGCGTTAAAATGTAGTTAAAAATACTGCCTTTTCATTCGCAAGTGCCTCCTGTCGAGAAACAAAATTATAGAGAGAGCAATTACAAGCCATCGCGAGCAGTTCGAAACAGGCGCGCAATTTAATTTCCATCGACGACAAGAGCAAAATAGCCCCTGACTCTCGCGTGCGCGATTTAATCAGAGCGAGAGCAAACAATAATCCGTCTCCCCCGTCGACGTCATCGTTACCTCCTTCCTTCCCTCCTTTCTCCTTGCAGTGGTCGTTTTACGGTCCTTCGCGCGCTTCTCTCGCATTTTCCCCGAAGAAAACGTCTCCGAGTGTACCTTATACTCGCGCGTTTGTGTGGCAAAACGAGGAGAGAAAGAAAGGTCTTGCGAGCCCCAGACGTTATATACGTAAGCCGCGAGTAAGCGAAGTGCAACAAAGTCTCGTCGATTGATCGTAATAATATATATAAGTCCTTTACACTCCGTGCACGCGCCCCCTTTTGATAGCTTTTTTTTTATTCCCTCCCTCTCTCGAGATCCTTTGAACATAGGCTGGGGGGTTGAAAATTGATTTAACGAGCGACAAAGACCTGAAAGAGCTCGGACGAAACGGCCCGTCGGTACACGCGATACGCGCTCATTGAAATCGGGGAATAAAAGCTCGCATCGACGCGGTTGTAAAAATTGAAATTGTTGTTGTTAGGGCACGTAAACATGCATCGCATCATTTTAACTTGCGAGTAAAAAAAAAAAAAAAAAAAAACGCTGGCGGTACCTAGATGTATATCGTATACAATCGAGCGTAAGCAATTGGAATTTCAGAGGATGTAAAAAAAAAAAAGGGAGATATTACAGCGCCGTGAGTCAGAAGACCCCCTTGGCTTCCGGGTGGAAGGGGAAAAAAAAAGGAAACAGTGGAGCCATTGGCTGATTGCATCATCGCTCGTCCACTGTGGAAGAAAAAAAAGAAAGAGGGTATAAGTTCGGGACGAATGGCCGAAACTGTTCTTCCGGACGAAAAAAATGACGCGGAGAATCAGTCGAGCGCGATGATGGTTGGGCATCGTGGAGAACAACGTTACGTGTACCTACAACCTCGAGTACAAATCTCGGGGAATCCCAAAAGTGGTTTTCACACCCGCGCGATCGACGAAAGCCATTAGCTGTACGTATATATAGGGAGAGAAAACCAAACGGTGTAGCGGAGAGAGCTAAAGTACCATCGGGTACTACCATACCCACGTACACACGTAAACGTGTATCCCAGCTGTGCATCAGCCGTGCAAGGATATAATCGCGAGGTTGGATCGCGAGGGGCTACAGGTCAGGTCGAAAGAGAGAGAGAGAGAGGATAGCCGAGCCAACTGTTTGGCTGCGGCGATCTTTTTCGTTAGTTATGAGCCACTGCTGCTATATACACTCCCTCGTCTATCTAATCTATGGGTGTATGTGCGCCCGCTGTTTTACCCGAAGGGAAATAAGGGGGAGGCAATTTACCGAGGGAATGGAGCGCGCTAGCGTTTTCTAATGTCGTGTCTGATGTGTGTATGCACCTATATGTGCGCAGCCAGCCAAGGTACTTAGGTATTTGCAAGCTCGAGCTCACCTCGCATGTGTTTGCTGTTTTTACCGCTCTATCTTTTTTTTTTTTTTTTTTTTATTTCTAAACGAGAAAGGCCCGAGTTGGTGTAAAAATTACAGCGAGGGCTCGGAGTGAGTTTTATTTGCTTGGATGAGGTGTTATTGTTGCTGCACGAGTTTTGTTGGACCTACGGGTGAGATTGTAATTTTTTTTTTTTTTTTACGTTAAAAATATGGGCGTGTACATGCTGTACATTGAACAAAGACAAGCATTGCTGTGTTTGCTAACTAATTTGATGAAAAGCCAGGTCTCCGCGCATCCAGTGGCAGCAGATGATGGATGCCCTTGAGTTTTCTTTTTGTGTACATTTTTCCCGAGCTACGTGACGACCTTACGAGAAATTTCATTTTTGTGTGATTCTATAGATAAGTTTGTTGTTCGGATTGGTTTAACACATTGCTAATACAGAGGCTTTGTAAATTTTGAGCCATATTTTAATGGCAGATTGATAAATTGTTCATCTTATAACTTTCGAATGGGTATAACTCAATTATTGGATTCCATGTGTTTGTCACACTTTGAAATTACATTTTGTCGATAAGACGTAGATTTCTTTTTTCCTTTCCATTCATTGTTTTTTACACGTCAAGAAGTATTTTGTCGTTTCAATGTATACTAAAAGTATACGTTATTTCGTAAATCGTGATGTGAAATATAAAATACGTTTTATGGTTATTAAATATGTATGAATATGATTTAAAAAATGAAGTAAGAGTATATAAATAGAGATTTTTTTTTTTTTTTATCGTTGCTCGCTATCACGAGGTGCAGAAAAATAATATTATATGGTGCCAGTTTCGTACGAGAAGATTATTTCTTATTAAAAGTTATAATAAATAGTATTGTAGTTGGATCAGTATCGTCAGTGAAATGTTAATTGTTATTATTTAACGAGAAAGAATACACGTGTGCGTAAGTGGTACACATAGTTTCTCGGAACAAAAGAAATGAGTGTCGTTTCGAGTACGACGCTCAGATATGGAGTAAAATTGAGCAAGAAAAGAAAAGTAAAAAAAAAAAAAAAACCTGTAATTAAAAAAAAAAAAAAAAAAAAAAAAAAAAAAAAAAAAAACTAAAAAAAAAAAAAAAAAAAAAAAAAAAAAAAAAAAAAAAAAGTACTGTCTCGGTAATTAGCCCAGCAACCATTTCCAGAGAAGCAAGCTTAAAAAAATGTACGCACTGTTGGCATCGCCCATCGAGAAATCATCGTCGATCTCCTCCCGAGCCGCGGCGGCCACAGCAGCGTCCCCGTCAAAGCCGGTCCCGGGCGTCTTCCCGAAAAATTCGTCCGAGTAGCTCTGGCCCATCGCCTGGTCCAACTTGCCAAACTCCTCGGGCCCTGCCTCGTCGACCGCGTCCACGTTAGTCTCGGGCCCAAGGTCGACCTCCTCGTTCTCCTCGTCATCCTCGTCCTCGTCGTCGTCCTCCTCGTCCATGTTGTACTTGGGCGGTTTGGGCCTGTGCTTGCCGTTGACGGGCTCGAGCCCCGAGCCGAACAGGCGGTAGTCCACGTCGTTGCCGTTGGACTGGTGCTCGGTGGTAACAGGGAGCGGCTTGGTCGCGAAGCCAAAGTCGAGGGGGTCGAAGGGTCGCTCCTGCTGGGGCTGCTCGTGCTGGGGATGGCCGGGCTCCATGGAGCTGGCTTGCGCGGGCCGCGGTTGGGCGTAAGGCTTGGCCGCTATCTCCGAGGGCGGAGTCAGGTAGACGACGATCACCGATATGTTGTCGGTGCTGTGGTTCTGACGGGCCCAGCCGACCAACGTCGAGCTCACCGAGCTGTAGTTACCTGAAACAGCCAAATCAATAGGGAGCGTTGTAGCCACGTTGAGTGCATATCAATATATTTATGTTTTTCCCTTGTACGTTAAAGACATGCGGTGTGATATTGCACAGGGACATATTTATGGAAACTACTCGATAATGATTTTTCAACGAATCAGCCACGCTCGTATAGGCCTCAAAGTCAGTGGGGGCCTACAAAGGTACATGCAAATCCTCCCACGGCTGTCGTATAGTCAAACGCGTTCTGGAGGAACCGCAAGGAGGACGTGCTCGCTAGTTCACAGGAAAGTGCCTCGGTCGAGACGAGAAGGATATTCTCGCTGAGCGCACGTCAAAGAGTATAGCCTATAGCGAAGGGTATCATCTTCGGAGTCTAGACACTGCGCACAGAGAGAGAGAGAGAGAGAGAGTTTATCGCGTGAGGGAGCCCTGTAATGTATACGGGTATGCACAGAAAAATTTTAATGCTGCACAAGTTATGGTTATAAAATTGAAAATTGTACTTTACGTCGTTATTTTTACGGGTCATTCGGGACTACTTCGTGTTTTTCTCTGTGCCTCTATATTAATCGAACCATTTACAAGTCTACTAATTGGTGATGTTGACAGAAAAGGTATAAGTACATGTTATATACGCTCAATGTTCTTAAACCACCGTTTTTTTTATACATTTTTAATAATGTAAAAATTCAAACTCGATATTTTAAAAATTCAACTGTTTATTTATTTATATAAAATTAGTATCTGTTGTGTTGCGTACATCGTTTATCAAATGGTGCACAGAGAGAGAGGGATAGGAGTATACCTACTCGTCTATTCGGACGTTATAATTAACGATCAATGTAACACGAGGGAACATATACATACACGGATATTACATCAGACATAGTACACATTATCAACGGTACGGCTGTTTGTGCAAGTCAGCCGTAATGTCTGTCAATATGTGAGTGTTGAACACGGTCACATCGTACACAATACACGTTGTTGTTTAATTGATAAATCACCGTCCCCTCCATTTTTTGTGGATTCTACCGATCGTTAGCCTCAATTAAGTAATTTTTAATTGCCAAACCAATTCTTCGGCAAACAGCTGTCGGGTGGAAATACTATTTGTTCTAGAAACAGGATTCCGGTCGTTTGTTGAAAAATAACAGGAAAAAAAAAAAGATAGAGAGTAAGGACAGTTCATCATTGAATCAAATTACGACACACACACGCGGGCAAGTACAATGGATTTGTTTTGTTTTTCCTCTACAGTGTTTACATAAACTCGGTTGATACGCATATAGAATGACAAATCAATAATATGTCCCTCGTGCTTCCGACCGATGGTTTTTCCAAGTCGTACACTACTAAAATCATTGTGCGCAAGAGAGAAAAGCTACTTCCCCCTCTATAGATAAATGTAACGATTCATCATAATTCTCGCACTCACATCCGGAAAATTTAGGCCGTGCGTGAAATAACTCGCAATTTCGGGCAACTCGGTTCATATATGCTTCGCTAAAGCACACGAATTTCCATAAAAATCCATACACTCAAGGTGAATCCCTCTCATCCAGCATGGGCGATAAAATTTCATTGCGCGCACGAGGACTCGTCCAGCAGAGCGGGAAGAAGGCGAGGGAGCTTTAATTAGACAAGCGCCTGGAAACCGATATTTCACCCGCAAGCCACACGGAAACGTCTCAGCCGACACTACTTGCCTTGTATATTTATAGGTACAGCCGCAACAGAACCAAGAGAGAGAGACGAGCACAAAGACCCAAATTCGTTGTCTAATTGCACCAGCGCGGGTTCGCGGACTATATACTACCGATGGTTTCTCCAAAAAGCGCGCGAGTCAAAGACCTCGGAAGATGCCGAGGGGGAGATCTTGGAGAACATAGTGCCTATAGCTTCATAGGATATAGGTACACACGCAGGAAATCCTGCCCGTCTGCCCGACAGCCGAGCAGTAGGGAAAATAAAGACGCGCGACTCACGTCGATCAGACGAGAAGATACACACATAGAGAAGAGAGAAATAAGAGAGTTCAGGTGCTGGTATAACATACATGTATACCGTATGAGAACGGTAGGAGCGAATCTACGTCCCATCCGGCATTGTGCTCGGTGCATCTGCATAAGTAACGAGTTCGAGATAAGGGCCTCCAACTAGGTACTACTGTTTTTCTATGCACTCATTCGTAGCATCGTCTGGAAAAGTTTCAGCGATGCTCGCGCGAGGAATTCCCCTCGACGGATGTATGGGTGCACACAGAGTCCCTTGTACAGTCTCACGGCGTGGGTGGTGTGTACTCCGTCCTCGAAAAGCTCCAGATGCGGGCTTTTCCCGGGTCCAGGCGGAGGAGCAGGTAACCGTAGCCCCAGCCCAGTTTGCGCGCAAATTGAATCCCCTGCAAGCTCTCCCGCCACGGGAGTGTGCGGTGGAGAGGAAAGTTGGCGCTGCGTTGTATAACTCCGCTTCTCACCGAGTTGGGGTTGGTTTTATTCATTTATGGATGTATAACTCTGTGCACAACGTACACTTTGCCCCGAAGAAAATGCAGAAGCCGAGCAGCCAAGTTTGTGTTGGCGCTCCCTTGTTCATCGAGCGCCACTTGTGAAATTTTTTCGTTACCCTGCATCACCGTACTCGGATTAAATTTATTCTACTCAAATTTCTACAGGTTTTCGGACTTTTAATAGAGTTCACCCCTCTCGAAGTTTCATACGCTGCAGAGCTTGCAAGCTCGGGACAAGCCCCAGAGCCGCTCTACCGCGAAGACCAGAGTAGGCATGAGATCGCGAAAGTAAGCAGATCGAGCTTACGGGGCTCTCGAAAAGTTCAACGGCACGCGTGAAGAGCTTGCAAGCACCGCCATCATCCTCCGGACCATTTATTAGCCGCGCGCTTAATCATAGGATATTCCTGGCAGAGAGGCGCGTAACTCTAAAGCGCCCCGCGTGCCTCCTCCTTCCAGATATCCAGATTCCTTTTCGGGCATCGCATCGTCAGTACACACGGACGTTAGTTGGTACACAGCACCGCCGCAGCAGCCGTACTCCGACTGTATAGACCTATACTGGGCAGACAAGGGAGATGGTCCCTCTCGCGTATCGTTTTAGGCCTTGCGAGCCCATACTTCTTCTTATTGCAAGCACGGGTATACATAGGTATACATATATAAGCGAGTGAGCGCAAGTCGTTGTCTCGTCGAGGGGGGATTCCCCGTCGCGGGTGCATCGACCCCGGCATTTTCAGTCCGCGTCTCTCCTCGACCCGTCTTTTATATTTCGTGTTGCGTCTCCTCGCAGTTATATTATAAGTGCACGTGCGCATACGTAACGAAGCGCACACGAGAGAGCTTTTCACGAGGAATTTACGCGCTCGCTTTGCTCCTCCCTATTTGTACGTATGTGGCCGTGTTCGACGTATTTGCGGGGCTTACGTCATTTCGCGCGCCACCGCGTTTCTGGATTCTCACACACGGGGCACAAAGATGGCACATGCTCATCTTTTCCAAGAGTCGTGGTGCTTTTTTTTTTTGCTTCATTTATTCGTTTGTACGGTGAAATCGTGTGCCAGTACTTTTGGTTATTCCTAGGGGGGGTGAGGGAAGGAGCAACGGGGCGTAAAATGTGCACGTTCACGACACCAACGTGCGCACATGTCGAAATTCGAGCAGGTTGAGCACAAAAGCGAGATAAGCAGCCACGCCGGGGAAACGAAGCGAAAGGGGGGGAATATGGGTCGTCGAGATCTTTTTGCCGGGGCATGTAATATTGTGTCGGTGACAGCCACATCGAGCGATAAAAACGTTTCTCGTCCATCACAACACGTATATCTCTTTTATGCACTATAGCCTGCAGTGTCGTTGCTTGTTTGCTCGCGATGTCGTGCAATTTTTATTTTTCTTTTCCCTCCTCCTTTCATCCGACTTCATAAATATATTACAACAGCTGTGAGTTATATACAGTTGTCGGTTGCAGTAATTATCATCGCTGATGTGGGGAAATAATCCTGTCGTCGCGATGATAAAAATACCGCGGTAACTGCTCGTGCGCGTATTATAACGTTAGATATGTATAACATTTTATTGTTACACAACCCAGAAAAATTAGACGCGCTCAATACAATAGAATTAATGCACGCCGTGGAAGATTCATCCCTCTAAACCATATCCCATTGTACGAAGATAAACGCCGCCTAAGATAACCCATCATTTTGAAAAATATTTTTACCGAACCAAAAAGCACGTGCATATGTACCACCCACCCAACAATATAATATACGTATCCGCCAAACGCATTACAACGATGTATATATTATACATGCATAATATGTGAGCGCGAAATCCTATTGGCCACCCCTCCCATCTTAACCAGGAAGAATCCATACAACTATAAACTTACCGCACCCCCCCCCCCCTAGGAAAAGGAACGAAATTCCATTGAACAAAACAGCGGGCAGAGCATGAGCGGGGCTTATCTGGCATCTAAACTTCGACCCCAGCTGGGATAACTCCCCCCGCGAATCTCTATATTTATATTCCGTTCGATAAGAAAAGAGGGGGAGTAGGTCGGGGTACTCCAATCTCGCATCTCTCGGCTGCTTCCTCCTCCTCCTCCACTTCCGACAACTTGAAAATCTTCGTCCGTATACATAGTTTGTGTTGCGCGCAAAGGAGAACAGGAAGAGTGTCCTCGAAAACCTCCCAGGAAACGCCATAATTTTCGCGAATCGAGATCCTTTTCCTCCCCTGCTGGTACTGATGCTTGTGGATAACAAGGTCGGAGGGTTATTACGTCCCGGACGACGATCGAAGGGGCGACAATATCTCTCGTTTTTTCGGCAAAGAGTCTCGTCTCTCATTTTTTTACTTTACGTTTTGTCGTATTTAACCGCGTGATCGTCTCGGTTTCTCGAATAAAAGCCCATTGCGACTATATAGAGAAAGGACGAGGCGAAGCGTAATTATTTACTAATCCAAGAAAAGGGCGGGCGAAACATATTTCA